CAAGGCAAGCTCAGTTCAGCACCTTGCCCCCCCTCGTCTTCCCCCTTCTTCCCTCAACTTCAAGTGACCGGGTGAGGTTCCGACTCTGCGATGGTTGTATCAGGAGGTACCTTCAAAACCACGACCATTCCAAAGCTGCAGGACCAGGGCAGTTCGTGGTGCGGAAAGCTGCATCCTTTCCGCACCTGGGAGGCCCCCCTTTGGCCCCGCTGAGCGACCAGTCGTACCATTGCTGATTGGTATCTCCAGGACGCACCCACGCACTTCACTTCGTAGCAGCAGTAGCACCAGCAGAAGATACCTTTGCCTTAGTGTCTAGGTCCACTGAAACGAGACCAGGGCCCCGTTGGATCTCCAACGATCCTGCGCTTCTCATTTGTTCCTCCCGGTAGCGGCCGCTAACACCAATCAGCCCAGATTGGCCAGTGTTGCCATCTCAAGAATCCACCGTCACAAGCCAGACTGCCAGTGACGCCTCTCCCAGTTCTCTCCCTGGTGGGCTATCTCTAGTGTCACAGAGTGTTTTCTCACCCGAGCTTTGGAAATATCGTACTTGTCCAGGCGGACAACTCGGTCGACCACCTTACGACAACAGCGGGTCGGTTTCACGGGGCGAGCCATATTGTTTCCGAATTGAGTATTTTTGGTACTCAAAAACAGATTTCCAAGGGAACCACTCTTTTTATATATCTCCCCGTACCGGCAAAGGGCCGACCACCACCGCCCTGGCGGCCGAGACTCTTGGCTCCGACACGGGGGGTGTACACGGGGGTTCGCCTCAACTCTTCCCCCTCAGCCCTCAGCTCAGTCCGTGAAGGTCGGGCACCTCACTTCTCGCTTACTTCTCAACATTTGGGGCAGAACGCCCGCCATGTACGACAAAACGTTATTGCCTCCGAGGTGCAGCCATCTAGGTCCCTATTCATATGCCCCCATCAACCTCCCGACGGGTTTTCTCTGTTGAATGACACTGTCTCAAGATCTCTGGCCTGATTCGGGGAAACTGAAGCAGCGTTCCGCAAGAGGCGAGGAATAATGAGCTCATAAACAGCAAGAATCAACATACAAGCGGGCGCCAGCAGCGCTTCGCGAGCAAATAATCGACCATGCAACCATCAACAGCTTAGACGGCTGCTCCAACCTTCACGTAGCCAAACGTGCTAACCAACCACAGGTGAGCCGTTTCACTTGCTGACCCCGCGCATCTGCAGATCGCCCGCCTGGCAAAGGTCGCACCAGCGGTCGTTTCTCTCCCCAACGCCAGTTTCCTCCAATGGCTTATCATCGGATAAGAGAATAGGTACTGCATCGCGACGTTTCGGGCTTATCGTGTTCCGTTCCGTCCTCTGCCTGCCGTCTTCTCACCCTGGCACCACAACAAGCCTCGAAGCGTGGTATCTGGGCTGATGATCCCGCCTGGGCATGCTGAGATGGACATGTCTCCATCAATGCCTGCACTTCCAGTAAGGTGGAACCGTTTGAGATTCTCAGGAATTGGTCAAGCTGCACTCTTTGATGACAGCCAGTGCAGGCGTGCGAGTGACAACTCGATCAAGACTACCGTGACTTGCTCGAGACCATCATCTCAGTCGAATACCCATCGACTTGTTCAGCATGTTTATCGTCATGTCATAGTGATTGTATACTGTAGCTTTCATGTTGTTGGCCTCTTGGATGCTGAATAATTCAACGTCAGCAACCGTATCTCTCACAACCGAATCAAAAGCAAAACTCACACATCCTTGCCCCGGGATTCCGATTCCTTGCGAAAGCTGACCTTCCACGTATCCATATTCTGCCTCTCCCAAGCCACGCGGACGAGGTTCTTGAGAACCTTGTGCTCGATACCGGCCTCTCTGCGAGCCGCCTGTATGAACCACAGTGTTCTCTTGGAAACCTCCGGGTCCCACACCGCGTCTTTATCGCGAAACGACGCTCTCAGCTGGTTGCGGACGGTGTACCTGTGCGGCGGTGCGAATTGAACCGCTCGTAGGAGCTCACGGTAGAGATGTCTGTAAGCATGGATGATGGGTGTTTTATCCATCTTGGCCAAGTTTAGTCTTCTTGGTGTAGAGCAAGACTTTCGCTGGAGTAAAGTGGCTCTTTGCTCTCAAGAATCTGTCAATTGAATAGAGAAAATGGAATGTTTACTTGAGTATCCTGATTGATCGCAGAGTTATTCTTTGAAAAAGTGAGAAAAGACCCTGGCATGAGCTCCTGGTAAGCTCAGTGACCATTTCACTTCAGGGAGGTGCACGGACCACTTCAAGATTTCCACCCCAGGCACTCAGATCCGACCTCAACTCCAAAAAATTCCATCGCCGACCTCACACCAGACCACCTCTTTCCGCCCTCAATTCCACCCCCCGGCCATCCACCATGGCGCCCCGACTACCCCCGAGCTGCCTCCAGCTCCTCCGATCGACGACGACGACGATATCAAACACCTGTTCCGCCGCCGCCAATGCCTCGGCCGTCATCGCCCCTCGCCTCCAGCTCCTCCCTTTCACCGCGAAGCGCGGCGTAAAGTACGGCTGGTCCACGGCGCCCAAACGCAGCAAGCCCACCCGTTTCAACCAGCCCACCGCCGGCCTCCCCGTCCTCACCACTGGTCCCGCCGCGGCCCTCGCCCGCCGCGAGAAGACGACGCCCCTCCGCACCGGCGTCCTCGCCGTCAAGAAGGGCATGACGGCCATCTACTATGGCAAGAAGCGTGTCCCCTGCACCGTCCTCCAGCTCGACCAGGTCCAGGTCGTCGCCAACAAGACCCGCCCGGACAACGGCTACTGGGCCGTTCAGATCGGCTCCGGCTCCAAGGAGCCGCGCAACGTCGAGAGGCCGATGCTGGGCTACTACGAGGCCAAGGGCATCGCGCCCAAGCGCCACCTGGCCGAGTTCAAAGTCCGCACCAAGGAAGGGCTGCTGCCCGTCGGCGCCCAGCTGTTTCCGGACTGGTTCCAGACGGGCCAGTACGTCGACGTCCGTTCCAACAGCCGCGGCATGGGCTTCGCCGGTGGTATGAAGCGCCACGGCTTCGCGGGTCAGGAGGCGTCCCACGGTAACTCGCTCAACCACCGCACCATCGGTACCACCGGCCCCTCGCAGGGTTCCGGTTCCAGAGTCATGCCCGGCAAGAAGATGCCCGGTCGCATGGGTAACGAGCGCGTCACGGTGCAGAACCTGACGGTGCTCAAGGTGGACAACGAGCTGGGCGTCGTGCTCGTCAAGGGCGCTGTCGCGGGCCCCAAGAACTGCATCGTCAAGCTGCAGGATGCCGTCAAGAGGAAGGCGCCGGCGCTTCCTTACAGGCAGGACAAGTTGAAGGAGCTGTTGGAGGCCAACGTGGATGGCGAGGCGAGATTGCAGGAGGCCAGAGAGAGGCACTTGGTGCTGAAGAAGGAGAGGAAAGAGCTCCCGGCACTTGTATAGATATCGTCCACCCTCCCCCTTTTCCCCTACTGTTGTTTACGAAAGTCTGTGTACTATACATGTTGTACATTTATCACCCCATTAAGAGAGGCGCATAGCTTTAGGGTCATTATCTCGCCCGACCCGAATTCCAACCCAATGACTTGAACTACCTCGAACCCATGCATGCTTTTGATGACGATTCCCTTCACGAGACCTTGAAGTGACTGTAGTGCTGCCCTGTATTCAACGGTCCTCCTTGTCTCTCTCACTCACTTGATATTCTGCCTGAAACCCCTCGTCTCCGCCGCCGACACCACAGCCTCGAGATCATCATCACTCAAATCATCACCCGGAATAGACCCCTTGAACGGATCCGCCCCGTCGAGCAGATCAATCTTGCGCCCGTCGGGCGTCTCCAAGCTCCACTCGGTCGTCTCGAACAGGCCCTTGTGCGACGTCCGGAAGCTGGCAAACTTCATGACGGCCTCGTTGCGGGACCCCTTGACGCTGAAGCTGATGTCGATGCGCCCGTGGAGCTGATTCATCTCGCCGGCGATCCAGGGGATCTGGTGCTTGAACTGCACCTCGTCGCCTAGGTACTCGCGGGCTTTCGGGGAGGTGCGCAGCGCGTAGAGGGTCGAGGCGATGACGGGTGAGGAGGACTTTTGGTAGTTGAAGATTGCGATGCTGCTGAGGGCGATGGCGGCGGCGAAGAGGGGGAGGGTGCGGGACCAGCGGAAGGTGATCTGGTTGAGGTCTATTGAAAGAATTGTGGTGGTTAGCGGATGGATGAAAACGGGAAGAGAGAAGAGGGAAAGGGGGGGAGAAAGACGAGCAGTCTACCTGGGAGTTCTCGATCTGCGCGCCGCTCCATCAGCGGTCCGGACCCGGGCTTCGGCGCTGCGGTCGCCCATCTCCTTTGAGCCTGCGCTCTGAGTTGCTGCGGCTGCTGCCGTTGCCTCGCGGCGGCGCTGCGCAGCGAGGAGGCGAGCCTCCTGGTGGCTGTGTTTGAGAACATGCTAGAAATGAAACTCCCCGTGGAATCGAAATCGTCCTACGAGTGAAGTCGGGGCTACCGCGTCGGTGGGTGTGGTCGGTTCAAATTTCGTGATGCCGGGCGTTGCGTCTAGGTCAAATTCTCGGGATGCTCCGAATCAGACCATGCAAGTTCGGTCAGTTCGGTCGGTCGGTCTCGACTCTCGGTGGGCGGGCCAAAGCTCTTTCTCGAAAATTCCCGGGGTCCTGGCGTGGGCATTTGGAAAGCAGAGAAAAAAAGCAATCGATAAACAGTAACCAATCAGACCCTGGACCCAAGACCCCTGTCGCACATTGTCCAGCTGTCGCGCGTCATAAGGCTGAGTGGTCGGTCACGGCCCCCTCTGCGAGAGGTAAGTAGGTAAGCTCCATCTACACCTATTGCACCGATACCTTACGTAGCTTACCTACCCGGGCTTCTACAAATCTGTCTTCATCGACTGGACTTATCAACACGTAGACCAAGTGTTTGCGCCTTTAACAACTACGACATCATTACAAAACACCAGCAACCCGCTGCAGCTCATCGCGCATTTGACAACCTCTATACTAAAATGGCAGAACCTCGAGGCGCAGCCGCTCGTCTGCGGCGTACATTCCACTATCCCACAGACGACGACTCGGCAGACTCACAGCCAGAAGCCATGGACGAAGAGGGTACGACGCAAAAGATACCAAAACCTCATTCCCAAGCCATCCCATTCCCCTCACTCTTCATCTTTCCATTCCGTCTTACATCAAAAGCTAACACCCAACCCCCTAACCTAGAACAAGAAACCCTCATCCGCCGCCTCGCAGAAGATAACGCAGCCCGCAACGCCCAATTCGCAACCGCCCTCCTCGCCCTTCCCCTCCTAACAACGATCCCCTACCTCATAAACCTCGCCCGCCTCTCCGCCCCGCTCACCTCCCTCCTCTCTCTGACATCCCTCCTCTCGACCGCCTACCTCCTCCACACCCAACCCCCAGGCGCGACCGGAATCCCCTGGCTCGACGCATGGTCCCGACCAAAGACTCCGCGCCCCAGCCCGGCCTCCTCGCTCGAGTCCTCGACCTCGTCCGTCTCCGGCGGTCCGTCGTCCTACCAGCCCATTCAGACAACGCAGAGGAGACGCAGGCGGAGCTCTTTTTCTTTCGCCGAGGAGCAAAAAGGTCCACTGGAGCTGTATCTGCCGTACCTCAACCTCGGACTCTGTGGTATGCTTATCCTGGCGGGGTTGGCGACGAAGTCGAGCGAGAAGGCTTCGTTTGGCCACGTGGGGCTGGGGAACTTGCCTGCTATAGTGTACGTCGTTGTTCTCATTGCAAAGGTGGTCATGGGCAGCGTCGATCCGGAAAAAGAGTTGGCCGCGCTCAAGTATGGTTTCAAAGGCGCGTAAAGCTTATGACTCCAAGAAAAATTAGCTACGTGGCGGCGGGAGATGTGTATTATTCTTTTGTTTTACTACGGATACCACGGGACCGCAAGGAGTTAACTTTACGACTTATGCTGGAATGACGATGTAACTATGATGCAGCGAGCGCGAAAAAGGAATATCCAGAGGTCAGGCTGTCACGAATCGAGATTGAAAAAGGTGCACACACACAAGTCTATTAACTTTTTCTGACACGTAATTACAACAATCTACTACACATCTATGGATTCGTTGAAGCGCAAGACACCGTGGCTTTTCAGGACACCGTCCACTCCCTTTGGCAGTCGCGGGAACGGATCTGTCAGAGAATTTGTCGACGACGGATCCAGTGACTTATCTGTGACCAGTGCAAGACCGTGTGACTTGATGGCGTCCACCAGGGCGGGGACCATCTCCTGTTGTACAGTCAGTAAGAATATCACAGCCATCAACGAAAGGGCCTAAACCTACCAAAAGCCGTGAGCAGCAAATTAAGCCCATAAAGTTGTTGCCTTGCGCAACCCGAACCACCTCCTTGATTGATGCAGATCTTCTGCCGTGGCTCTGGATGATGTCCGGCGGCGCCATGACATCCTCCCGTCCCAGATCGTTGCACAGGAACACGGGGAAGTTTGGCTGCTTCCAGTTGAGTGCTGTGCACATGCTCGGGTTATATGAACTGAACACCACAGAACGGACCGACTCGAGCGACTGAGCTCGCTGAGCGCGGGCGTGATCAAACACATTAGTGAGAAGAGAGTCAACGAATGTGTTCAGGTCCAACGACGGGCCCAGGCCCAGTGACCTTTCCTCGTCCAGTGACGGATACAAAATCTGGATGTTGACATGCATGCCATGCGGGAGCAGAGCCAGTGCCTCGTTCAGAGGGATACCCGCTGTCGCAAGAACCCGATGGACGTCCGCAATTGCGTCCAGAGGCCTTGTTGGTAATGATGCCAGTTCGGCTCTGCTAGGGCTCTTTGACGTGATCGTATTGAACTGCTCCATTGTCAATCTTGAGATGGGCAGGTCAATTCCACCACATGGTATCGTCCATCTCGGCCACAAGACAGGTACACCATCGCTGGTGTGCTGAACGAAGAGTTGGACAAAGTCACCTGACAAACTCGAACCAGTCACAAATGTGCTTGGACTGCGGTCGAATTGGCTTGTTGCCTTCCAGTACGTTTCGAAATCCGTAATCTCGAGTGGCTTACCGTTGAACGGCTTGATGACCTGAGTGTGGAAGCTGATCTGGCCAATTGCTCGTAGCCTTGGATCGAACAGGGGGAGACAGCACTTCCCAGAGCTACTAAGCAGCGCCTTGAAGGTATTGGGAAGGGCCACCGTCTTCGCAATGATCTTCGCGCCGTAGGTAGGGAAAACGTCGAAATCGAGTGTAAATGACTCCAAATTGTCGATTTGAAAGGAAACAATACGGGTATCTTCTTGGAAAGGCAGCATGATATTCTTCGGGATGAGATCCGAAACCTTTGATGAAATGGTGAGTCGGGCGGCAGGGTACTTCCCGTCGTGGAAGAACACTAGGGGTTGGTCCCCATTTTCCTCGAAACTGATCTGAATGACCGTCTTGGTGTCCAGGAAGTTGTGTCCGTACCGGCGCAACGGTATGATCGGCGGCGGCAGCTCAAGTTCAGGGATGGCATCCGGGTCAAGGGCCATCGGGTCGGGCCCGCTGCTCATCATTGGTCCCAATCCGGGCTGCATGATCATGGGGCTCGCCTTCGTTCTTGCGTTGTACGGTGCAAGCAATTGCATGCATTCGAGGTGGCCTTCCCAGACAGCGTAATACATTGCTGGCAGGTCCTTTTCGTCGACGATGTTGGGGTCTGCTCCGACGTCCAGTAACCCTTGGAGGCAGGGAACGTTGCCTTCGCTCGCGGCATGAACCAGGGGCGTCCATCCGTACAACTTATCAACCTGATCGAGATTTGCTCCAAAGTTCTTGAGCAAAAGGAGAAGCTCTGGCCTTTGGCCTGATCGAGCAACAAGGTGTTGGGGATAGAGTCCTTCAGCGTCGGGAACGATCTGTGCTCCATGCTGGAGGAGCATTTCCACGATTGCCAACGAACCATGCTCGCAGGCAAGGTTCAGCGGTACATGGTCTGCGTCAGAGACAGGGTCGATTCGAGCGGACTTTGCTAGCAGTCGTTCGACGCACTGAAGGTGGCCGTGAATGATTGAGTGTACCAGAGGGGTAAAGTTATCATGGTCGATCAAATCTATCGTTGAAGTATCCGCTGTGAGGCTATGTCAGCAACCATGCAGCCACATTGCCTGTACTTATATAGATCTTACCACTAGTCAGGGCGTCGAGCATGTCCAATCGTCCATGCATACTGGCATAGTGCAGCGGCACTCTGCCATACACATCGGTACGACTGACAGCAACACCTTTTGCCAGGCCGTATTCAAGGACAAACGAGTTCCCGTAGATGGCAGCTTGGTGCAGGCAATTTCGTTCGTTAATGTCGTCCTCTGACTGTATGTCGACCAAGCCCGTATCGAGGAGAGCCTGTAGAGTCTCTTTAGGCGCTTCGTGAATGGCAGCGAGGAACGTTCTAGTCACTCTCTCCATCAGAGAGATGTCAGAGCCTGAGGACGAGCTAGCAGCCGTCCGCATTCGAATCAGGAGATCCCTCAAAGCCTCGAGGTTCCCTGAAATGACCGTGTCGAGGAGTAGTGTATCCGCATCACCTTCGTCAGTTCCGAGTAGATGCTGGCTGCTCACGATATGATCACTACGAGGCTCGAAGCTGACATTGTCACCCTCGGCCCAAGCCCCCAGCTCTTGGAGACTAGTAGTGGCCTGGTCGGATAGTTCGCTAATGACGGTGGCATTGAAGAAGGGCTGGACCTCGACTGCTCTGGATAGGTAGAGTTCTTTGGTTTTCGACTTTGACGTCTTGTCCCACTTTTTGAGGATCTTGGAGAAAGCAGTCCCGTTGATCTCAACAAATTGTTGCAGCTTGTTCAAGTCGCTGGCAAACTGTTGGAAGCCCTCTTCGAGAGTTGTGAACTTGGCCGAACGTCTGGAAACACCATTGCGAGACTGCAACACCTTCTTCTTGTCGAGAAGAGTCTTCAGTCGCACCTTGAGCTAGGCGGGAGTCAGTTCTGACAGGGTAGAGTCATTACATTAGACAAGAGAAATTATTGCATACCTCTGCCTCCTTTTGTAGGTAAAAGGCGTTGACCTTTTCGAGCTCTCGTTCCTGTTCGAGAGTCAGTAAGTACGTTGGGAAGTTCATCGCACTGACCCATGACTGGATACATACCAATTGGAAGAAAAATGTGGCCTTGTTGGCCTGAAGGGCAGCCTGGGAGTCTATAGATATTGCGGAGCGGAGAGGGTCATGTTGTGCGCTCAGCGTGGGCGTAGCCGACAATTTCTTGATCAGCTAGTAGCGAATGTCAGTGGTAATGCCGGATGTGATTAGCTATTGCCATGGGGGCTTGCTCCATTCACCTGCCCCTGACGGGACAGTGTCGGGTACCGAGTTGACTAAATTCTAGAGGGGGTTTTTCTCCTTTTTGTGGTTTGCGTACCAAGCTTCCATCCAATGCAGAAGAGAAGCGAGAGAACGGGGTAACAAAAGGGGGATAGAGACTGAAGAGGGAACTGCCGGGCAACGAAACGTACCTTTTTGAGAGCCTTGTAGTTTACAAAACTAGCGGCATACTCTGGAACTTCAAGCTGACGCTTCTGAATCTGCTTGCCGAACTTCCTGCTGTTATATCAGCACAAGTTCGCCAGTGAGAACACACTAGGGGTTAGCTAAGGCCAAGAGACTGACATGATGGACGGACGCCCGTGGGATCACGGTGTCCAAAAGTGATCGTTGTAAGAGAGAGCAGCCTATGTGCCCTCCAGTAGTGGCAAGCTGACAGTGGATGTCTGCAGGGAGAAAGCTGATGACAGTAGGAGGCTCTGCGGGTGTGATTATGCGTCGGCGGCAGGCAAGCAAAGTAGCCACTCGCACAAGGGTATGCTGAGTGACGTCGCCTCGTGGCAGAGTTGTGTAGAACAGCTGCGGGTTAATGTAGAGAACCGTACGTGGGGTGCTCTTCAGTGGCGCAAGCTAATGGGATGACGAGTTGGGGGAAACCAAGGCCTTTTTTGGCGATCAGCAAGATAGAATCCTGCCGCGTGAGGTAGACTGAGTAGCGGACAAAGACAGGCGAATATCCAAGTTGAGGTAAGGATTCGAAGCTGTTGGTTGAGTTAGAATTTGAAGGTCTAGATTAAAGGGGACGATGATCGGGAGATATCCCTCGTGCAATAAGACGACCGCTTGGCCAGTAGAGCCACCAAGTAGCTATGACTGAAAAAATTGAGCACGCAGAAGGAGGAGCAGGAACCCATAAGCAGTACCCGTAGAGAAACTAAGTCATAACGAGCAAGATGGGTAGTAGGTGGGGGTATTCTGAAGCTATCCCGGGCATGCCTCGGTGACAACCAGGCTCTGAAGAAAGAGGGGCAACAACGCACGCGGCTCTAAGAACATGGACATGGTCAGGCATTTGCTCTGAACAGGTGTCACAAGTAGGTAATAGTTATTGATGCCAGACGCTGCGTGGGGGCAGGGAGAACGATGAATGGTTGCAGGTACTAGCAACCAGTGGATGGCAACATACCATGTCAGCGCCAGTGTCGGATGGCACACCCGTTGTTTGTCTCCGATGAGGAAAGCAAGGTCTGAGTTGGCCCAGGACCAGATCTAGTTACGGGTTGGACGGGGGGTGAGGTTAGGAAAACCAGGCGCGGCCGGGGACCAGAACATCGTCCTGTCCAGGGTATTGGCACCGTTTCCTAGTCTGACTGGGGAATAACAGGAAACGAGTGCGTCGTCGACCTTGGTGATAGGGGTTATGCAAAAGAAGCAGTAAAGCATGGATCGAGGGGTAGAAAGAGAGTTGATGTGAGTCGGAGTGTAATCAAGACGAAGGCAAAGGCAAAGACA